TTTACTAATATTATTTAAAAAATAATAAAAAAAATCGTTATTATCATAATAGGAAAATTTTCGACTGACGAATTGAAATATTTTTAAAATGCAAATCTATCATTATTTTATTAATAGGTATTCTGTTATGTCTGTAATAAGTATTGAGTCCCGACTCTATTGACAGGTACTTTTAATTTTGAATACAATAGAGTTATCTTTAATATCGCAATAAATAGGGCAGGAGGAGGATGCATCAATATTTAGCAAGACGTCAGCGTCCCTTTTTTAGGGTTCCGTACCCAAAGGGTAAAACGGGACCCTATTACTAAGACTCCGCTGTCTGTCTGTTTGTCTCTCCGTCTGTATTTGTGTTGCCGTTATAACAACAAATACTAAAAACCGGAATAAAAAAATGATTAAGCGCGGCTCCCATACAACAGACATGATTTTTGCCGTTTTTATATATAATGGTACGGAACACTTCGTGCGCAAGTCCGACTCGCACTTGGCTTGTCTTTTCAAATTCCATTTTATTACGATCTCCCAAATCTCGCGGATCCCGGATGTGTAGTCTCATCACCGACCCTATAAAAATGGTGCGGGATCATCACTCACGAGATTATGACACGGTGTTTTTCCAATAATCAGAATCCAATACACACTAGCCATTACTACGATGTTGATAATTATAACTATTTGATGCTTCGCATAATTTTTCGGGGATTATTTAGAATATAATCGACGATGTTAAAACTTGTACGGACGGATGCAAAACAGGAACCCATGCTTCTCTTACGCGAAAATACCTCAGTTCTTGATGTATTAGGAATGAGATAGAGTTATTGAATTTAGCAAATACAAAAAACGGAACTCATTGTAGAACACCAAGAAGCGAATTCTATCTCAAGACCTTGAGCTCGCAATTTTAATGTCTCTGTCACTAAATCATAGCTGATTATCGTAAATTATAATATCCCGTATAAACCCAATAAATATCACTCCGTAATAAAAAAACATTTCGACTAAAGTAAAGACTGACTACAATAAAGCTACATTTTAAAGTAAAATAAACAAGTAAAACTTTAAAAATCAATAAACAAGCAAAATAATAATGGCAAAATAATTTTAATCTTGAAATCAATTTTCATGTAATTGGCGTCGGGTATTTTTTGCGACCAACAATTACAATTAGTCAATTAAGGACCGGTTCCATTACACGCGTGTTCAACACTTGTCTATGGAATTATTTCCGAACGTGAAAATATTGATATGAAATAAAATTAACACATCAATACTGAGTCCCTTTCTGTCAGCTTCTAATTTGGTACAGCGGAGCGTCTGGAAACATTTTCATCGCATGTTTTCTCTATCTTAAGGACTTGTATAAGCAATGTTAGCAGATATTCTGGTAATGCTGAAGTTCCCGGACTCTGTAAAATATAAGGTCAAACATCTATGTACAAGATACTAGCGACGCAGAAATCGTTGTCTAGTGTAGGTAGAAACCGTATTTCGAAATGGAAAATGGCGCTTTTATTCTCGATAATGCTCCCATTCCAATTCGCCTTATGATCATTCGACTAATTGCGCGTTGGAATCGAACCTACGCCCCGCGATAACTTAAGTAACTTTTTTCTATCGGTGATTGTGCTTTAGATAAACACTACTGACGGGAAAGATTGCTTGCAGCGATGATAAACCTTTCGTTCACTTTTAAAAAAGGGAGGGGTATGTGGTATTTGTACTTAATAAAACCTATATGGTGTCCATCGTTAACCTTGAGGGAGATGAGTATACCTATAAGTGGATAGTTGTTTTATTTCCCCGAAACTACACAGCTGATTGTTTCTTAATTCATTAACTTATCGTTCCATTTCGTTTGGGTTATAACATATCCTATTTTTTAGTATAGAAGATATTAAGAATACAGGATAGCGATTACGCCGTTGTCTTTTATTACAAAATTCTTTTGGCTCACCGAGGTTAACCTACACCGGCTGAGGCCACAGTGATTTCTAATTAAAGTGCAAACTTTTAACTATGAGTAAAGTACTTAATAAGTTATTAGTTAACGCTATCTACGACCCGAATGGCGTAGTCGGTAGTGTACCTGCCTTCTGCGCCAGAGGGTGTGGGTTCGATCCTCACTACTGGAAAAATATTGTGTGATGAGCATAGTGTTTTTTTAGTGTCTGGGTGTTTATATATGTATAATGTGTATTTGTTTACAAAAGAAAAGTATGTTCAAGTATGTCTATCAGTTTTCTAGTACCTATAGAACAAGCGTTGCTTAGTTTGGGACTAGAGAACGTTGTGTACAAAAATGCGTCCTATCTGCTACCGACCTCGGCTGAAAGTGAATGTTGCTAGAGCATTTTGACATGCAGGTAGTGTCGGTGAATAGCCTAAATAAAATTTTGACGTCTGACACTTATAGGGGAAATGAAACAATAAATAGCAGATATTAAAGTCTTGATGATTAGAACAACAGTCAATTTAAAAATAGTCACAAATTATTGTTACCGTGTTAATGAAAATGTCCTAAGGAAAACTGTATTTTTTTTAATATATAGCAAGTGTAGGATGCTTATATTTTTTAATACATCTAACAATAAAGCTTTGCACATTATGTTTAGCAAGAAGCTATATTACTCTTCATGATTTCAAATGTTACCAGCTCAGGGTTGCGTGGACTGTAGACCTTAGTGTACTTTTTAAAGCTAGGCATGAGAGATTTGATTCGTTGGTTTTGCGATCTATTATTTGAGTGGCGTAAAAAGTAAGCGTTAATAATTATCAATGAAATTAAGCCTTGAATTGTTTCAATATTTTTATAAACATAAATGTTTCTTTTTGTATTGTGAAATACTAATTTTCCCGATCGATATTTTGTCGCGTTCCGTGGTTTGTTGTTTGTCAATAAAGTCAACGAGATTTGTTATCTTCATCTTTAAAGATGACAGTTTATTGATGATGTTAAATATACTTTCTAATTGGTCTTTTGTTTAGGAGGAAATAAAGAGCACTTTTTTACGTGAAAAATTGTTAGGCAAGCAAGCGGTTAAGTGATCACCACCGCCCGTGAACATCTACAGCCCCTGAGGGCTTGCATACGTTGTCCAACTTTAAAATTAGTGGGCATCCCAGCTACTTCACTCACCAGAAACACGAAAATATTATACTTTCACTTCACGCAGGTCTTTTTTGATGCCGTGGTACTTGGCTTGAGCCTGCCCATTCTTGCAACAGTCGAAGCTGCTTCGTACCGTAGTAGTACCGTAGTAATAAACAACCAGAAACTAACAGAAATTACCAAATGGCGTGACTTGCGGAGCGAAATAGCCACGCGATAATGGGCCTTAGAAAAAATTATCTGCCGTTTAGATCCCGCACTCGAATGACCGATGGTTTAGAAAACAAGTCCTTGATCTAGGACTCCATGCATCATCTATCAAAGGAAGTTTTAAGCAAACGGGAGCATATTATAAGGAAAAATGTGAGACGCTGAAGCACTTTTAAGTTTTCGTACAATTCTAGAAATTACTAACGGCGTCATTCCTCAATTCCAAGTAATTTACCACCGAAATCGCATACAGTGGGTTGTTTGTCAATTAGTTAGAAGCTATTTATAGCTCAATAACATGATTTGATGACTCCGTGGCGCAGTTGTTAACGTATTAGTTTCGGCGTCGGGGGTTGTGGGTTCGATTCCCACACGAGACATAAATTTGTTGACCCACAGACAGTTGTTTCGCATCTGGTTGTTTGTCCGCGTGAAATTTATGTTTGTAAAACGTCCTTACAACACAGGATAATGTTATCCTAAAGTAGGGGCAATGTTTTTTTTTTCTTTTATAAAAAAAAGAGAAAGGAATAAGAACCAGCTTCCGAAAGGCTATATCGCACTGCATCTACACGCAATTGTATAAAGTGCAATGGCGGGAACGTCGGAACCACAGGGTCGCGGGTTTGAAGCCATAATAGGAAAAAATACCCAGTACGGGGTCATGGACACTCGAATATTTTTAAGTCATCTTGTGACGTGTAGAACGAATATTAAAAAAATTAAATAAATGGAAAATAATCGAATGATAAAATCGACATTAATCACTATATCCGTCCGAGAGCCGTAAACTTAATGAAAATAAATGGGACTCGCGTCGGATTCCCTAGAATACAGTACAATTCGTCCAAATCGTTCCAGCCGTTTTGGAGTCCATAGGGAAAATAACTGAATATTCTTCTTCTTCTTCTTCTTCATCGTTGACCTTATGTAACTTGTCGCCATTTGCTTCTATGCTGCGCCAGTTCAATGGATCGTTGTAGAGTTTCTCCTGATGTTTCATTTGAATATTAGATAGATGCAATTAGGACTCACTCCAGCCTTACTCTAACGGGAACGCAATAAAGTTTTTGGGAGTTAAAACAATTTAATCCAAATTTAAATCTCATGAAATTCGTAAAATGCTTTTTGTGTATTATAAGCGTAAATACTAGTAATCATAACTTTAGCAATATTGAATATGTGAGGTGTACGAAGTCGTTTTTAATAGTCTGGTGTCTAACTTGATAGGGGTAAGAGATAAAATCTAGAATTTAGAACTTGTAAAACAAATCTAAATAGGTAGGTTATATAACAAAAGAAAAAGACAATTCTTCGAAAGTTTTACGATACTTTATGCTGTAATTCTTTTATTCACATCCCACGTAGACTTACGTAAGGATATCTTTATGGCATGTGATTTGATAATATCTCGTGACCATTACTCGGTACTTGTAGCGTCATGAAACCTATATATTTACAGAGCGTGTATGGACCGGACTAACAGAGTCTACTCAACACTTACTCATCTTCGAGGAGGTAGGCAGACATATCCATTGTTTATTTTTATCGACCCTGACGTATCTTCTCAGTCTTCGATGGTTCGGATGCTAAATTATCGGCTCCGGTGACGCGGAACGTGGATTCGATGCCCATCGGGACCGATATTTCTTGTCATTGATCTAACTCGTTTGCCATGTGCAGTATCTATTTAGAGTATCCAGTACAACAGATGTACTGTCTGAAATACACTTCCAGCTACCCATATCGTAAAGGTGATCGACGGTTCATAACTTGATGTCTCAATATCTGTGCTGAATATTCTCTACCGTTTTCCAAACACTAATAAAGCTAATAGGCTGTGTAAAAATAACATTTAGTATTAGTAACAACCTTTGAGCCGCCCTCGAAAAATATGGAAATAAGGCTCGATAAAATCTATTGTAAGTTATATAATATTGTTAACGTGGGCAGACATTGAGACAAATTTTTTGATAAACAACTCGCCAGGGCTTTGGTGAAACAGGTGATTATCATAAATCCTGTAGGATAGTAGGAATGATACATCACATATGTTTCGTAAGACGTTTAGTTTTGGCATATTTTGAATCTAGGCAACTTTAGTAGTAACCGAGCCTTACTTTTCTTGACTTTGTTATTTTTGAATGAATGAAAGAATGAATGAATATTTATTTAGTTTCAACAAACACAGTTATGTTAACAATTAAAAGAATATATATCTAAGACATGAAAACCAAATAGGTATGTACTAGGTACGATTTTCCGATTTTCAGTACATACTTGCCAAAAATTAAAAATATAAATGATTATATAATTATATTTATTTAATTCGTGAATTTATCAAGCAATAGGTAATACCGAAACTGACCTCTTCGTGTGTTCAATCGGACTATTATTTTTTAACTTTTAGGATCAATTTGGTATAAGGAGTGCAGTTTTTAATCGTTTATTCTAAGGTTGTGCCAATGTACAACTATTATGTCCCAGTATAATATTAAAAAAATCGATATTTTATGCTCAAATTAAACATATATATAAAAAAAAAACATTTAACGTTCCGAAACCCTAAATGGCTGCCACGAGTCAAGGGCGTCCTTAATAAGGACATTCAACTAACATTTTTAAAGAAATATGTTCACGTAACTATATGCATACGCAATTATATTTAGGTACAGAGTTCCGTTCTGGCTCTTTTCGAGACCGGTCCAATTTGCGAACCCCTTTGTGATTACCGTGATTAACGAGAGCTTGATACATTAGATTTCGACGGTTACTTTGATTCTGATTTTGATTACATCTGTAAAGGATGACGTGAAAGTACATTCGAATAGTTCCAGTTTTGTTTCAACGCTTGTCGAAGATATAGACAAAATTTATCCCGAAATCTTTGCCCATTTCATTGAAGTGTCTTCATTCTGTGTGTATCAGTTACCCATGTACACCTCCCTCTGCTCTCCACTTTATCTATTTAGAAAAAATCTTTTAGCAGTGGTTGTCTGGAAGAAATCGCTTTCTGAGCGATAAGACCGCCTATTGTACTTCCTTTTGCCTTTAATATTTTTTTTGGTGTAAAATAAAGTACAAATAAATACAGTCTATTATGGTTTCCGGTGGTCCACGCTTCCGCGTCCAGTGGTCAACGCTTGTCAAAGATATAGGCCTCGCCGTCTATCATTGTTCGGCATCAACCAGTCCTCGTTCAGATCACGGCGCCGTGGAAATCCCGGCTTCGAAGCCCGAGCTGCTCTCCACGTAACTTATCTTACGCGGCCGCTTGGCGGGGACGCGATTTGCCACACTTATATTTCCGAGCGCGGCGCGTTCGCCCTCAGTTCTGTGCGCGCCCCCGAGTAGTCAACACGTAGCGATGTGTAACGTATGTACCCGCGACGTCGCGCCGGTGGTGGAGAAGCCGCCGGCGGCCAACCGGACCCTGGAGCGGATGAAGAGGAAGCACAACATCATAACGGACCCCAACGACGAGGGCAAACAGAAGGAGGTGGCCTACCAGCCGGACCTGCTAGCGGTCTCCAATAAGATATTAATGAGGTACGGTTTCAGTTTTCGAGTTTTCCGCTCGAATTGAATCGTTATACCGTTTAGCACGCCGGTTATTTGTTCAAGCATATGATTTCTCCTTTCCTTCACGCTGAATCCGTATGATTTGTCCGCACCCATTCTGCAACTCGTTGGCAGTTGCCTTTATAAATAGTTTTCATGTAACGAATGTACTTGGCCTTGTCCCAAAGAATAAAAAAATTAACATTTCATTTTTTACCACGCGCCGTCAACCGTTCGTAATTTCAAAATGTCTGGCTGCGGTAAGTTATGTTTTTCGAATCAAATTATTATTCAGTATATCGATGTACACCTTGAAGTACTAAATTCAAGGCGAATGAACAAATAATATTATCGAATGCATAAGACACGACACCGCTGCGTTTATGACAAAACTCTCTAAAAAAAATTACTTAAAATTTCACATTTTATTTTTCTTTCTAAATCAATATACAGTAAATAAATTATACTGCCACAATTTTAGCATAGCTAAAATATGCGAAAGAAGTTTATTAAATCGAATATCATTCATCATTCTTAACAAATTTAAAGTTAAGCTGTACATATTGGCAATATTTGTCTTGACCAATAATTCGAGTGTTATTTTCATAAGTTGGTAATGGTTATATAACGAATTAATTTATGCAGTTATTTCAAGCATAAAGAAAACAGCCTTAGAAAAATCTCAGGGTTTCACCAATTGCTTTGTTGATCAGTCAATAACATATACATAGATTATAGACAAGCACGCTGAGAAAATATCATTTTCTTAAAATCTAAGATAAAATTAGAAGGAAACTTGACGGTGGTAGGAACACGCAACAGTGTTCGGTGTTGCACGAATGGGCAGGTCCGTCCGGGTTAGTACCACGACCTCACAGAAGACCGGCGTAAAGTAGAAATGCACTTCTGCGTTTCGTCTGGTGGGTGAGGTAGCCGGGGCCCACATTATTATGAGTCGGCAACGCATCTGCAACCCTACGGGTGTTGCAAATGTCCATGGGCAGGCGGTTATCACCCTTGTAAACTCCCCTTGTAATATCTACAAAATATGTAAACTCTTTTGTAAGGTAAGTACTAGCCGCTACAAGCGCTATAGCACAAAAAGAGCCATTTCTTGTATTCATGGTCAACTTCAAGCTTTATGGCGAATATTTTACTTTATTTTATTGTACATTATTGTTACATATAGTGTCAATTGTTATTAAGGAATAAAGTACGTGTGGAATAACTTTAAATTATACAAAGATTACGTATTTTGATCAATATGTATGAGTTCCACCTTTTCTTATACGTCTCTATAAGGCAAATATCTATAAATAATTGGCGGGAAATGTCACGAAATTGGTCTTCAGAGAGTTAGATAGAGATAAATTTAGAAGCGCTAAAAACTTATTTCAAAAATAAACCTGCAATTTTGGCTCCCGTACCACTTTCAATGCCAACTCTTTGAAATCACACTCATCGCCTGACCGACTCCATTGCTAATACAAAACATCAAAGTTTCCATCTAAGTGAAGTAAAGCGTGAAAATAAATAAAAGTCGGTTTTTTTGTTAAAAAAACCGACTTCAAACCGGAAAATGAAAACACTGTTAATACCTATAACATTTGAGGATTGCCCTTTCTCTGCGATGTCATCATCAGATCCGGGTTTCTTTATCAAGGTACCACCTTTGGGATATCTCCTTTCCAACAAAAAATAATCATCGAAATCGGCTCACAAACGACGAAGTTATCCGCGAACACACATAAAAAATACCTCCTTTCTTTTTTGAAGTCGGTTAAAAACAGCCAAAAATCTCCTATAAATTACGTTTTTCGTAATTTGGTACTTAAATAACATCGAGACGTAAAACTGGAGTGAGGCGAACGCAGCTAACAGAACCGTTTAATTACAGATTAGTTTCATTTAAAATGTGTGTCTTTCGCTGATTATTAATTAAGAAGTTTTAAATATGTTACATATGCATCGAAAGCAAAGAGAACCAAACAAAGGCCAAGCTACGACTCCATTAAAAGCTTAAAAACGTCCTAAAACTGGAAAACTAGTCGATCTCGAATCTCCAACTGATCTTAGATTGTAACTGCGTTGTCCTAGCCACTAGGATTTCAGTCTTTTAGAAGTTAATTATCGTCATCACCAGACGTAGGTGATATCACTCGACCTGTATTGCAGAAACAGGCCCTAAAATCTTATAAGTGACGTAATGCGTTTTGTTTCAAAATGAATCTTCTTGTTCGTAGAAAGTCTCCTTTAACCCTCGCCGTTTCTGAATAATAATACTAGGAAATGTCAATGCTCTATCAGAATAGTCGTATTTTGTTTAGAATTTCCGCATAATTATCTATTGTACACCTAACATCGATAAATATCACGAGCGCTTCATCCATATTTATTGTAGAAAGATTATTAACGCTTGACACTGAAATGCTGTCAGCTTACATCGTGTTATCAGTGTTTTGTGAATTTAAATGTGCTGAAGTAACACTAGAAAGCTTTACTACTTTGTGAGTTAGATTTTCATGTTGAAAAATACCATTGGAGTTTTGGAGACGCAAACATAAAATCTATACGAGTGGATTCCATTCGTCCCCGTCGTCTTATAAAAATCCGTTATGCTTTTTTTTTGTAAAAATCAGGGAAAAAAGGGAAATTAACTGACTAATAAATCGAGGTTAAATTTGAATGCACTTCGGAACTGATGGCAAGATTTTATTTACATCTTTTTCGGTCGAAGGTATTAATAACAAATTTTTATTATTTTCAACTATTACGGTCATGTGTATGGATGAATGTAATCAAAAAAAAATAATTCCTATACCCTTCTATCTTATAATTTCTTATGTATAGTTTGTTATGTCCGATTATTTCAATAGTAATTATAATTTACCACCCTTGGTAGACTCCTTTTTTGGGTTACATTCGGTTGAGTCTCATGTCGTATTAGCCCTCATGTTTTGACACGTTGCTATGGTACAGTACAAAGTATTCTGAATTAAGGCTAATGAACTAACTAGTGATTTAAGAATGATAATTTTCTATTGGATTACGCTGTACGGGCGAATGAATAATATTCTTCGACAAAACTTATCTCTAGAACAATGGAAAGCGATCAATAAATCTGAGAAACACGCACTGGGTTCTGATGGAGTGAGACGTCTATTTCTTATCTTCTTTAACCATTACCTTGACAGAGCTTTGGAGGTACAAGGTGGTAGGACCAAGCCGCAGTTAGTACTTCATTAATGCCGGAAGCCAGCATTAAGATCGTGTAGTAATCTATACTCAAATAGGATCCGTACCTTTAAGAACCCTATGCCCAAATGATAAGACACATACATAATTATAGGGCTCTATCTTAACGGCACATCTATATTATGACATATTGTAGAGGACAGAACAGACTCAAAGGAAGAACCCCGGAATTATCTGTAGGTGTTGGTGTCTTGTCAAGTAAAAGACTCGAATGCTATGGATTCGAACCCCATATCTGCCAATGCCAAGCCCAAACAAACAGTGTCCTTTTTAGGGTTCTGTATCCAAAGGGTAATACAGGACTCTATTACTAAGACTCCGCTGTCTGTCTATCCATTTGTCACCAAACTGTATCTCATGAACCGTGATAGTTAGGCAGTTGAGTCTCCCATACAACAGACATGATTTTTTGCAGTCTTTAGAGATAATGGTACGGAACCCTTCGTGCGCGAGTCCGACTCGCACTTGGCCGGTTTTTTTATCAACATTCACTAAGTGCAAAAACAATAGGACACGGATTTGTTCAATGACTCGCTCTTTCGCCTGGCACCGGTCTAACTCAAGGCTTTAGACTTCGCAGTAAGCGAAATATAACCGCTTACCGGAAACTGTATTTTGCGGGATCAGTTTGATGTCGTCCCAAGTACACAAGTTAGCATTTATGTCTGAATCTACGATTGTAACATGCTTAAGTCTGTGTGTGTATTTACGTATGTTTATATCGACATCCACACTTTAATTAGGGAGTGGTAAAAATCACTTTATTTTTTTTTGCACGTAATTAATACCTATTGGAACTTTTTCAAAAAAAAATTACAAATGTATAGTTCTATTAACGTTATGAAAAAAATATTTTTCCTTCAGTGGGGATCGAACCCACTGCCTCCGGCGCAAGAGACGGATATGCACTACGCTAATGTTGCCAATGCATGACAGTTTATAATTTCTTGACATTTCTAACACAGGTCAAACGTCTGTATCAAAATCGATAAAAATAGCGAAGCCATCCGTAAATTACTTTTATTTAATATTCGCGTAAACACAAGAAGTTATCACGACAGGACATTGTCAAACTCATCATTACAGAGTTGCTTTCACTATCGTGTGAATCAATTCTTGGCATTATTATTCTGTCACTCTGATTGCTTTGAATTATCGTAGTAATAATTTATTCACATTAATGTAGATAATAAAAAAAACACTCGAGTTTCGTTAGCAAAAACACTTAATAAATTAATTTCCCTAGAAACCTAAGTAATTTAAATTTTATATAATTATTGTTGCAAAATTAATGTGAATGGTGAAGTTTATAGCCTCCTAATTAATAATTTGCAACGAATGTTTATTTAAACTACATATAAACTTTCCTCTGCAATCTATCCATCTCTATCCATTGCTGAAAACTGCCTTAAAATCCGTTTCGTAGTTTAAAAGATCTAAGCGTAAAAACATCGGGAGCGACTTTGTTTTATGCTATGTAAATATACAATATTGACTAATACATTAAATACGACTTGCCCTAAAGTTAACACTGTTTAAAGCTTTTATACATATAAACAAAATTTTTCCAGTCGATCATATCACAACTTAGCGACAGATTAATAAACGAATCCCTTATCACAATACCTAAATGACTGGCTGACTTAATGCAAATTGGCATTCTCTACCGGTCGACCTGACGCGTGGAGAAATGGGAAAACACGAAAAAAATGCGATATAAAATTTTTATCAATGCGTGGGTGTGTCGATTCGGAAGTAACCGAAAAT